ATTCAACCCATCAGATCGTCAAGGAGTGCAGCAACATGCCACCATTGACAGAGTTCGCGAAAACTTGGCACTGACGCTGAAAACCTGGATTGATTGTAAGAAAACAGGACCAAAAAAGCTGTGAGTGACGAGCCCCTTTAAGCAGAGCCAGTGCTAAACCTTTTCCCATATTTACCTAACTTCTGTCTGTTATTTCAGCCTGCTGTACCCCAAATTGATAGCCTGCCTCACGGAGTTGAGAACGATGACTGAAGAGTACAGTAAGCAGGTCTTGCAGATCCAGGAGGTGCAGCCTGACACCATCTCTCCCCTCATGATGGAGGTGGTCAGTAAAAACCCCTGCAAGCACAACTGACACCAAAAAACTGGCCACTTCAAGCTGTTTTGTAGAGGTTGAAAAACTGAATGTACCCACTGATTTGCTGCCAAGTGAGAATCACAGGAGAAGAATGAAGTCAAATCCTGATAAATTCATCACCGATTGCTGCCTTTCAGTGCTTTGTCGTGGCATTGTGAAAAAAATTAAAATTGTTTACCATGATGTTCACTACTCTAAGAACCGTTAGACTTTCTTCTAAAGACATTTGTATTGTCTCACTTCTTACCTCAGGTCGAGTTTAGTTTTGTGCTTGTTGTGTCGTGTGAATAAGTAATGTAAAACTTATTGTAAATTGAATTAAATTACAAAAGCGTAGCACTCTACATGACCAGAAATTATTGTAGAACTGTATCTCGATATACTAAGAAAAAGATCTTGTGATGGAAAAGCAACTTCCTTTTGAAAATCAGTCTGAAAATCTGAAATACAGGGTATTTTAAGGAACTATGGAGGACGGTATAATCATTGTATTTTCTCTTCCGCTCTGGAGCAGCAGGACTCTGCCTGTCCGTCTTTGTGCAAAATCTCTTTTGAGGCTTGAGCCTCCATGCGTTGAAGCAACCAATGAGAAAGTAGGGCCCCGATTGGATGACATGAAAAAATCTGTTATTTACATTGAGACTAAGGTTCTTATGGGGTGTATGGAGCAGGGATGGGTCAGGAGCAGGTGTTGAAGCTGGCTGTCCGATGCCGATTTTCAGAACACATAAAAAGATTGACTGAGAATGTCAAGACAGATGGGACATTGTCCTCATGAGACTCATTTAGTCAGAATAGTCTTGTGCTAAACTCTTGCTGCGGTTTCTGGAGTTTATTTCAGAGCATTTCATAACAGCTATTTTCGCCCATTGTGGTAATGTGTTTTATGTGTTGCAACATTTTATTAAAGCAGTACATTATGTTTGGATTTAATTAACACCACTGAGCCTCCCCTGTTTCAGAGACCAGCAGCTGCCACTGCCTTAAAGACTTTTCCATGAGTTTAATTACAAAGGAGATCTTGAAGGTTTGGGCGGGAAGGATTGAGGAGATCAACAGAATTATAGAAGATTCGGCTGACATTTTCCTCTGTCCCAAGTGTACGGCCTTCTTTAACCGAGGAGGTTACAAGAAGCTGCATCTGAAGAGTTATGGTGGAAGCGCCAATACTGTCAACCCAGACAGTCGCTGTCATGTCAATATAAACTTTATGGTCTTTCTTCTTCTCGTCATAGTAGCTTCATCCTGTCTGTTCCAGTTTGGTTGTGACGCCATCCTAGAGGGAAATGTCATTAAGGCTACTGCCATCAACACATTTGGCTATAGATAATAGAGAAGGGACGTTTTTTTTTAAGGTTTTGTCCTGTTTCGCAGACATTAGCTTTCAGCAAAGCTTTTATTGTGACTAACTGAATGTGCTCCCTTTTGGCAAAAAGACTGGATCAGAGCTTATCTTTATAACGGTTTAGCTCCTATACAGAGTCTCCTTTGGAGCAAGTTTACCGTCACCTTTTCTAACATAGAAGTATTTTGGGATTGCCGCTTCTATGTTGTTTTTGTGTGTCTGCTTCTGTCTCCTTGAACCCTGTTCGGTCTATGCAGATGGCCACTCATACTGGGCCTGTTTGTGCTGAAGGTTTCTTCCTGTTAAAAGGCAGTTGTTCCTTTTTACTGTTGCTGCATGCATTATCGGTACGAGGGATTGCTGAAGACTCAACACAATGCAAGCAAATACCTACAGTCACCACATGCTCATCAAGGAGGAGGGAATCTTGCAAAGTCAATAAATCCACTTTACTTAGATGGCCAACTACCGAATGATCTGATTGAATTGTCTCTGTAAATCGCCTTGAGATGACATGTTGTGAATTGGTGCTTTATAAATAAACTGAATTGAACTGAATAATTGAACTTCTTTTTACCTTTGGTGAAAAACAAATCTTAAAGTGGCTAATAGGGAAGATAAGAATAGAAATCCATCCATCCTCTGCTACTTATCTCTTTTATGGTCATGGGGGCTGGTGCCTATTCCCACTATTCGAAGGCCAATAAGCGGAGTACACCCTGGACAGCTCACCAGTAATAGAATAGAATAGAAATGTTTTTCATTATTCATCAATGGGGAAACAGAGGTGAATTGAATAGGGCTAAATAATTATGCCAAAAATATAATTTTCTCTTTTTGAACCAGTATTGCAGTTGTGGTTTTATTTGGATTTTATTTTCCCTAAACTAACCAAATGTATCGAAATGATTCACTCCAGAGTTTCATTTTTTTGCATCTTAAAAATGTTTATGTCCAGATTCTGTCAGTGGTGGACGAAGTACTCAACAGTAGTATTTGAGTAAAAGTATTGATTCTTATAGTCAAATCTTACTCAACTACAAGTAAAAGTTACTCAGTGAAACATCAACTCAAGTTAAAGTATTGAAGTACCCATTTTTGAAAATAACTTCAAAAGATCATGCATTTAAAAGTATTCAAAGATAGAAATTATTTTCTAATATTAGCACATTTCTGTCTAATTGCAGGGTAATTTTAAAGAACCTTGTAACTTTCAAAAATGACCTGATGTTTTCACATAGAACCACCTGCTACAGATTCTACACCACCTGGAAAGAACTTCAGTATAAAAATGCCCAAAAAATAAGAACAGCTATTTTGATTATTTCCCATTTAAAAACAAACCAAAAAGAAGACGGGAGGGTCTTGATTCTCCTCACACATTCACTATGTAATAGAGGTTTAAGGTTGAATCTTTTACCAAAAATAAACTACTATTGTGTTTTGAGAGCTCATTCTACTGAACATGGCCACATGGCAACAACTAATTCTTTAATAAAATCTATAAACTACAAATATCTACCTTGAATTTGGCATCTGTCATTGTGAAATTGCATTTCAAGAAAGAAAAACAAACAGCGGATTACAAAGCTAAGCTGAGCCAAAAGTAAGGATAACTAGTAACTTTTCCAAAATGTAGTGGAGTAGAAAATACAATATTTGACTTTGAAATGCAGTGATTAGAAAGTTATAAGTACTCCTTCAAAAACTACTCAAGTAAATATACTCAAAAGAGTACTTAAGTACAATAATAAAATAAATGTACTTTGGATTCTTTTTTCACTGTATTCTGTTGTAGCAGGACATTACTGTTTCATGGAAAGGTGTTTACTTCTAGTTCCAAAGTAAAAAAACAAAAAACAATTCACTGGACTTTGTTTCCAAGTTTGAAGATGTTTTGTTTCCCATCCAGAAAGCTTTTTCAATACAAAAATTAAAAAAATACCTAAAGGACTGAAGTGAGAAAGTAGATGCCTTAATTCTGTTTAACGTAATCCAATCAAAATTGAGCACTTCTGTAAATTAAAAACTTTGTTTAGTTAAATTGCAATATGTAAACAATAAATTGCCTAGACCTAGAATACAACTATGCAAATACAAAGGAAAAATGTAATAAAAACAAGAGATGATATACTGCACTATTAGGACAAATGTACATTATAATAAATACTTTATGGTTAGACCCAAAGAAAATTTGGCACATAGTTTTTTAAAATCTAAAAAACTGTAAAGTGCATCTATAACATTTCAGAAAGACAACTAAATTCAGTTAAAACACAAAAAAGATCATGTTCTTTCTTACTTCTAAATCCTTCTGTTGCAGTTGCTACATAATGTTGACTAAAGATTTATTTTTTATTGGTATTTTTTAACCCTTTCCTCTATTGCAGGCTTACTCTAGTGGAACTTGAGTTTCTCTCAGACGACAAAGAGCCAAGTTGCAAAGGCATTTAATATTTTTTATAGAGACAAGTGCGCGGATGGGATTGACGATCATAGCCTTAGCTCTGGTTTGAACCAGGCTCCAGCAGATTTATATCGCTTCCTAATTCTGAAACTTTGATGCTTGCAGATCCATAGCTGATAATAGCCATTCTAGTTCCCATATTCATGTTAATTGATTTTAGTGATTGATTAATTGATAATCTGCCATTATCTTAAACATCCTGCATTTCCTCTTGAACCAAGGTGGTTTTATAACGAAGAGCATTTTTTGATACACTATATATTTTTTTGATTTGCAGATATTTGAATCCAACCATTCATCAGCTGTACTAAAAATTATATACTTTAAATGCTATGTACTATAAATAATACAAAATATAACAAAACAGACCTAGTAGGACACTGAAATAAATAATAGAACAGATAAAACAAGTAAAAGAAATGTACATCTAGTATCAGTTTGTTTTTCCTTTCTATTTCCTGTTTGACAAGATATCAAAGATTGCAGCTTTCTGCTCATCCAACTCTAGGTGGAAGCAAACCCTCATAATTCAGGGAACTTATCCTCTCCATCCTGTTCTGTTTTTGACATGCTACTGAATCCAAGAATGTAATTTAATTACAAAGAGACTACATTTATTTGCACCTGGTAAATAAAATTGAAATAGTTTGACGTTAATCAAAATGAAAGTTTTCATTCACACAGCAGCAAAGGTTGTGGCCATACTTACTGGAGGGTCAATTTCAGGAGCTTCCTTAGGAAGCCAGTCTTTAAACTAATGTCAAATAATTCAGACAAATCTTGTTAATTTAAAGAAATCTAATGGAAAACCAGTCAGTCAAACACCTTGATCATTTCCAGGCTATCCTAATCTTTATTTGTTGCAAATTACAGTACCAGGGAACTATTCCTCGGAGCACGCAGAGGGAATATTTACAGAGGCGCACATTAAGCATACCTTCACAGAAACAAAAGGAAAACAAAACAAAAAAATAAAACACTTCAGTCACAAACAGAGGCATTCAAGTAGCATTACTGTTATACAGGATGTATTTGTAGTATTTTTTACTTTTGTGTCTCTTTAACCCCATTAAACCCAGTAGGTATAGGACCAGTATATATGCTAGTATGACGTACGATACTAGTAAATATACTTGCTTTTCTCTTTTTGGTTACCATTTTGTTTTTATTCAACTGGGTGTTCAGGGTTGGGGGTCAAGTGGTCAAACCTTCAGGTGGAGGGAAGCAACACGTCCATGATTGCAAAAATTACAGCAAGCAGACGATGAGGAGAAAGGCTACATGACTCGACCCCCCCTTAGGTGCTACTGAATTTTTACCCCTCCCCCATCTTTACATTTCAAGATATGCAGCCCAGAGATGAGAAACAGGACACAGAAATGTCACAACAGGGAGGACAAATCAAAACGAAGAGTTATTGCCTCTGAGGATGGCTCATCACTTTGTCAACGTTTGGCTTTGGTAACAGAACCAACACTGATGGCGATATGGAGTCTCTACTGTAGTCTATATGTACAGTAAACAGGGCCTCCCGCTGCCTCATCAGTCCATGTGTGCCTCGGATAAAACATCAAAATAAACACCTGTCTATAATGTATTTTCAGCTGAGGAAAAAATAAATCCTTACAATTAACGTCTTATGATGCATGAAGTGTTTTTGATGACAAATGGGAGTAAATGAGGAGGTAGAGGCTCAACAGCACCCAGGGGAGGGTCACAACACCAAGGGAGGGGGTGATGGAGGAGACAAGGCGAAGGTGTATGAAAGCAAAGGCACTCCAAACTATAGTTACACTATACATGACTAGTTCTTGTTACAATAATACAGCTGATATCTACTGTACTGTACAGGTAAGGTTGAACATATGGCTGGATAAAGCTGATCATCGTCGTCATCTAACAATATCCATAAACAATATCAGTTCTGCCCTGTTTTTTTTTATTTCTTTTTTCTTTCCCAACTCTTTTGTTTTTGCTCATAAACAGTACATGGGTCAGCATATATACATACCTTAAACACAACATGGGAGACAAAAAAAAAAAAAAATCATAACATAAGATACAAGACATACAAGTCAGAGTTTTGGTGACGAGCATTTATAATGTATATACAAATTCAGTTTTTTTTTCTTCTTTTCTTATTTTAATTGTAGTGAATGTTCTTGGTAGGTAAAAACTGTACCGAGCAGCTCTCTGTGCACTGTAATGTAAGGATGAAGGGTGGCTAACACTGTACAGAGCGCCGCCGCTCACTGACAGACAAAAAAATAAATGAACTAAACGTGATCATCTGGAAGGAGGAGGCGGATGCACGCAGGAGGTGAACAGTTTTGTCGAGACGCTGCTCTGTTACACTGTTACTGAGTCCAAGGCAAAAAGGAGCAACGCAGGTGCTCCGAAATCAGCCTTTAACACTAGAAGGAGGACAGAACCTCCTGCTGGACTCTTCCAGCAAGAACAGAGAAAACAAACAAAACGTCACCGCATCTACATCTGTCATAGGCAGCAGCAAATATTGCCACTACACTGCCAGATATGAGCTCAACATAAATGATTTCTGAACCATTGTAGTTATTATACATATATCTATATATACTTTTTGTACAGAAAGAAAAGTCATATATAAACTGGGTGTATGCTTGTTTGTACTGTATGTATATATTATACAAGCACACAGGGGCAGATACACGTCACACCCGTTGCACACCTCCACCAGAAAACACTGCCTGGGAATCCAAAGTAAAAATAAAATAAAAACAAGCTAACCAATTAAAAACTAATCCAAGAGAAGGAAATCATCCGATCTGCTGAGCTTTTTCTAACGGACATCATCATCATGCATCAAGGTGTGCGAGGATGTGGGTGTGTCTGAATGTGTGTAATACACGTGCGTGAGCCTCATGCCTTGTCTGCGGAGATGAAAGGGCAGGGCACCCCCCCCCCCCCTCTGTGGCTGATCCTACTGTACTCGGGTCATGCACTACAGGAGGAACCAGAGGAGGGGGAGGAGGATTCAGAGATGTGGTACGATACAGAGAGGTAGGGACAGTCGAGGAGGGGCTGAGGGGAACAGCAAAGGGCTTCTTTTTTTTTTTTCCACAGATTGTCCTCTTACAAATATAAGGAGGCTAACTGTGCAAGTATACCTGTACAGTATACTTGTAGTCATCAACGCTTCTGCCCTTACATTTCACTGTTAAAGAGCACGGAGAGTTCAGACAGCTGGGGAGCAGAGAGGAAGGTCAGGGGGGCTTGGGTTTGTGTGGTCATGTCTCAGGGCTGTTGTGTCGCTGTTGAGCCCCGGGCCCGCTTTAGCGTCGCTGCACCGCTGCCAGGAGCAGAGCTGATGGCAGCTCACCCCCTGGCCAGGGGGCGCAATGGAGAGGCTGTGGGCCGGGGCTGAGACCGGGGCGGGGGACAAGTGAGGTCTGTGGGCTCAGGAAGTGGAGTTGGAAGCCGAGGCGGAGGCGGTGGTGGTGCTGGGACCCCGCTCTGTGCTGCTGCCATCTGTGTGCAGGAAGAAAGGGATGTTAGTGGACATAAAGAGATAGAAAACAAAATAAATAAATAAATAAATTGGGAAATGTATCTTACTTATTTCAATAAAAACCCAACCTATTCCTCTTTGCCAAAACTCAAAACCTTTTTCTGCAACTGATTCTTCCTAATGACGCTCACCAGCTTGGTCACACATTGCTGTGAGGTGAACTAAACTCTGCTGATAAATACTCAGATGCAATTTTCCTTACAAATATGGCACCATATAAAATTAAAATAAAACAGCCTTAGTTTAATAGCTAAAAAACATAATATTTGAATAAACAATGAACTGATCCTCTAGTTGACTTTTTAAATAGTTTTTTAAGAGATAGTTTTTTAGGCTCTAATGGTTTTTATTTTGTTATTTTGTCTGAAAGTATGTGGACAGGAACCTGAGACTGGGTCATGCGCTCCACTTCCACACCATAGCAGTACCCTGACTTTTTAAATTGTCACGAATAGATGCTATTTTTAGGCACTAATTCTGAAATATACTGAGGCCAACAATTTAAATATAAAGAATAGCCAGAGGCTATAACAAAGGATCAAAACATAGTAAACATCTGTCCAATTCCTTCATAGTTAAGATCTACTTAGCTAATAGATGCATACCAATAATTTAGGACTTAATCTAAAAGTTAAATGAATTCAGTAATTCAACGCAAAAACAGAAGCTAATAGATTCACGTCATTTTAAAATCTGATGAACATTAAACTGCTTTTAAACTCCACAAATGACTCCCACCCCTCAAACAACAATAAGCCATAAATAAGTCCTTCTAAGCGGTAAATAAAAAGGAAAAAAGAACAAAGCGTGGCTCTGACCTGTGTTGGCAGACGCGTTGGTTGGTGTTGCGGCTACAGCCTGGCTGCGGGCGTGGGCAGGGATGAGTATGGAGGCCAGTGAGGGATTACTAGAGAGCTCTGAAAGATAATGAACAGAAGGTATAAGGTCATGCTGCAGCACAGCTTTTCTCAACAATGGAGACACTCAGAGGTGTTAAAGAGCAACACTTTCTGAAGCAGCACCCATAAAAAAACAGAAAACACTGGTTAATTCCAAAATTTTGATACAGGATTAGATACGCATGGAAGAAGAAATGAGCAAGAAAAATAATCTTCAAAGCATAGGAAAACCTTATAGGGTGTGAGGTTTTTATATCAAAGGAGATAAATAAAAAAGCAGACGTTTGTACAAAACAGTATTACAAAGAAATATGGACTTATAACAGCTGGATGGATTGCTACAGACTTAAGACAATGCAAACATCTGTCCACATGCTCATCCAGGAGGATAGAATTCTGGATGTCAGTGTTTTAATAAAATCTGCTAAATTTCCTTAGATTAAAAAATCTTTTAACCATGTTCTGTCTGGATGATTTGAACAAAAATTATATATATATATAAATCTGAAAGGGTTAGTTCTATGCCTTCAGATTATTAGCATATTAGTTAGAACATACCCTGGGTGGTGAAGTTGAAGAGTGAGGGCTTCTCTCTCCCGTTAGGCAGCTTGATGTTGGGGTCACGCAGCTCATCAAAGAAGGAGTGTGCACAGGCCTCTAGAGGGGTGAGGCGCGCCGTGGGCGTGTACTCCAGCAGGCGAGAGCAGAGGGCGATGGCCTCTGGAGGCGTACGAGGTCGGAAGACCTGAACAACGGTGGGAGACAGCAGCAACGTGTTAAGATTGTTCATCATATTCATGGATTTAACACATCTGGGAGCACGAAGACGGTAATGCTGAAAGAGGAAATTTGAAACTGTTTGGTAATATTTTAGGAAGGCTTCGCATTCTAAAGCATAGCTTGCATGTTGATGGTATGTTGACAACAAAGGGCGCTGAAACAAGGTTGCTTCACTTTATTTTGGGTAGAAATTCATATCCTGGGAGATAAAGTGGATTTTTAGCGCTATCGTCATTCACCATGATAAACGGCGACAATATTCCCATGTCATTAAAAGAAATAAACGTAATTCAGCCGTTTTGCCTGTGTGCGCTTGCAGCTGGTGTTTCCCTCCCCTTTAAGACACTGCAGCATGTATACAATCACGTGACTCCACTCAGAAGCGTAAATAAAGAGGATGAGCCCAGTGAAGCGTCTAACACAGCTGTAGAAGAAACTACGGATGTGTTTGATTTTAGAAATCAAGACATTTTTCTAAATTTTGGGACAATATAGTCTTATAAAGAGTACATTTATATACATGTTTAAGCCAGAATGATTGGATAATAAACATGACTGCCCTGCGACTTTAAATATCAGAGAAACCCATTTACGGATAAAAATATTTAAATAAACTAAACATTATCACCACATATCTGACTAAATAACCATTTAAAACAACTATTTTCATTCATTTCAGATGGAACTATTCCCATACTTGTATTATATTAAACTGCACTTCCAATATTCACCACTGTTTAGCGCCAAGTACCGTTTTCCTCTGAGCAGGGAGCAGCAGGCTTGCTTGGACTGGCAATGAATCATGGGATATCAAAGGCTATGTAGGGTACACCTGATCCTTCATTCAAATCGGGCAAAAAGAGGGACGCATTTGTCGGCCACGTAACGAGGAGTTTTTCAGTCCGAACACTCCTACGCCACTCGCTATGACGTAATCGGCCAACACATCTGGCTTTCAGGGGACACAGCCCATGAATTCAAACTCAGCCTACACAAGTTAATCCTATGGAGCCAAGCAAGAGCAGAGAATAAGCTGAGTGCACAGAGAAGAAGTCAAGAGCGCGTTTTTAGAGTTGAACACATGGCAGACCAGTTTGGAGCGAGGGTGTGCGGGTTTAAACGATGCATATTGTTCTCACTGCACGCTCAGTTCGGTGTCGCAAAAATTACGCCATAGATGTTTAGCAAAAGAAGAGAAAATGTTTGCCTGAAAACTGTCAAGACTAACCAAAGTAAGACATCTAACCTACAGCACAGCCACGCTGTTGAGTTCAAAGATGTGCAAAAGGCTCCATTACCTTTGCACAAAAATTTTCACAAGCGAGGAAACATTTTTTCTCCTGTTCAATGAGATATTGTTGAATGTTTAAACCTGAATGTGAGCAAAATTTTTGTATTAAAATAAAAGTAATATGTCATGTGATTTATTTTATAAATAAATTATAAATAGATCAGTTGCATTTCCTGCACATGCATTTATCTCTAATGAAGGAGATGGAGAATTTATAGTGCATTTATTGTTAACGGGGTAAAACTGCCCAATTTATCGTGATATTAATTTGAGGCTATATCCTCCAGCTCTAATCCAGAATCAGCTTTTCTCACTTTCTTACATTTAAAACTAGAGAATCCTAAACTTCACTTAATTTGGGGCAAACATCCCTACATTAAATGCATGCATTCCTCTCTAAAATGAATTAAGATGTAAATTATTTTTATTCCATTTAGTTTGTTATTTGTTATAACTATTCTCATATAATTTACAAACAAGGTAAGTAAAAAAAATATTTTTTCTTTTTGTTTCAATTCTCAAACATATATGCATCTTCTGTTCTAATGTATAACTTTCATAATGTTTTTTTTCCCCTCAAAAGATTTTCCATTAAACCTTTTTTATTTTAAAAGAATATAAGCTTCAAACATATTTACACGGAGATCATAAAAAATTTGAGGTTAATGAAAATCGCCATTAAATTTTTCAAAGTGAACTACTAATCAAAAATAGGTCAGCACTAATCAATTATTTGATTTATTGGTTGATCTGTTGATTTTTTTTTTTGGAACAATCCATACATTTAAAAGCAATACTTTAATTAAATTAGCATTTCTAAATAAACAAAATAAATAGCAAATGGTAAAGAGGACAACATGTATATGTGTATATTTATAAATGAATTGTTAAATTACTATTTGGATCTTTTTAGATTATTAACAAAATAGATAATGGATAGATCAGTTTATAACTATAATAACTTATAAGTGCAGCTCTAGATTGAATACAAAAATAGAAGTGCTAAGGAAAATTATACAAGTGAATAAATCATAAAAGAGATTAAAATCCAAAATAACACTGAGATAAAATATAACAGCTAAAGAATAAAACTGAGACCTCACTTTATGAATAATTTTTTAAATCAGTTATTAGATATCTATGGTATTTTGATTTAGCTATATGTAATGGTACAACAAATTATTGGACACATTTATTGAATTGTTCATTCATCAAGCTACATCTAACCACATTGTTGCAACCTAGACATATGCATGGAAACCAGCTCTGTGAAGAAGCTGCTGTTCCAAACAACTTCACCCACCTATGTCCAAACCTCTCTATCGCCACCTGCTTTTAGTGGCTAATAATACTAAATACAAAAAACCTCAAGCTAAAAGGAAGCTCTTATTTTAAGCTTCACGAGTGTTTTTCTTGTTCAAAGGACAGTACATAAACGGATCAAAATTATTAAGACTGGACACATATTTCAATTAACATAAAATTCTTAGTGCATAAAGCATTTAATCATCGATTAAATCAATTTTCCTGAGTCTTCAAATGTTTTTTATTTTCAGACTTATTGTTAGCAAAGTAATTTTTCTGAACATTTTGAGAGATATTTTTCCTATGTAGAAGGGATGTCACTCTGATATATTATTTCTTTACAGGGTTAATATCCAACTGTTTGAAGTAAGTTTTTTTGGTGTCTCACTGTTTTCATTTTTAAATCAACTTTACCAACTAAATAGTCCAGGTTTTTATCAGTAACACACTTTAAAAAATATAAATACATAATACAAAAAATATAAAGATAACTAATAGAAACAGCACATCTCTTAAAAAACAAAGACATTTTATGGATGGTTTTGGTCTCAGTCTCTCTGTATGGACAGAGCTGATGAGCAATGATCTTTTTAATCAATCATGTCATTTGTTCTGTAAAAGTATATAACCCAATGGAGATATAATAATTCTGATCTGAATAATAATAATAAAAAAAAAAAAAAAAACAGCAGTTTATTCCAATGTCATTTAGGAATCACATCCTGTTAGATTTTAACTTATGCCTCATTAGTTTAGGAAAACTAAGTTTTAAGGGTAGAAAAACCATAACCTTTGTAAATAAGCATGTATGGTGAACTGATCAGGAGATTAAATGTTTATAAGACAATGTTTTTGAAAAGCTAAGAGACATTGTTAAGACTGGGGTTGTTTTATGAGAAGAAGCAGAAATCCACCTTAAAAGAGCCTTAGCTAGGACTAATCAGCAGAGGGAAAAATTATGTGAGGTTTATGTTTGGAATCATTTACAAGTACCGTATTTTCACGACTATAAGGCGCACTTAAACGTCTTTTTTTTCCCTCAAAATGTGCGGTGCGCCCTATGGTGCGGTGCGCCTTATGTGTGTTGTAACTGCGACTTTTGAGACCACCTCATTGAGGAGATGATGAAAGAGTTGCTGAATGGAAGGAGACCAGGTGTTTTTTTTCCACTCATCACCATCGCTGTTAATATGTAACTCCATGCGTGCCCATCTCACAGCTGATGTGAAAAACATGGGGAAACAAATTAACGCTGTGCTCGCTGTTCAACCACTCGACATCGGTGTGAACCGGACCCAGCAGGTGCAGCAGAAGCAGCGAGTTTACATGCAAAGTCAATGGTTGACGCGCGTATAGGCGCAGCAAAAGGTCCCGCAGCACGTTTTGAGCTGCAGCCGCAGCGCCTCGGGAGCGTTTAAGTATCTGCCAACGGGCTGCTGCTGCTCGAGATGGAAAAATTGAAGTTTTGCTGCTGGACGCGCCGCATCAACCAATCAGAGAAGCTGATCTGGGAGCTGACAGCGAGACAGACACAGCGCTCTGATGACATATGATATTAACGCAAATGAAAAAGGCTGGATGAATGAGGAGATGATGAAAGGCAGGTGTATGTGAGGAGACCAGGTGCTTTTTTCCACGCATCACCATCGCTGCGTGCCCATCTCACAGCCGATGTGAAAAAAAAAAGGTGAATCAAATGGATGCTGTGCTCGCCGTTATCCCGGGGGTCTGACAAAGGAACTTCAACCGCTCGACATCGGTGTGAAGCGGCCGTTCAAAGTAAGGCTGCGAGCGGCTTGGGAGCGATGGATGACCGACAGAGACCAGAGTTTCAGGATAAGTGGAAGGCAGCGCCGGGCAAGTTACGCCACCGTTTGCGGATGGATTGTAGATGGACTGTGTCTGCTGGCTCTGTTGTTCAAGCTTTCGCAAAAGCCGGCATTATTTCTGAGGAGCCGCGCTGCACGGAAAGTGACTCTGACAGCGAAGAAGGGGAAATTGGCATGTCTGATTTAGCGCAGCTGTTTAATTCAGAAACAGAGGATGATGACTTTGATGGGTTTGATTAATACTTTGTAATAAATACATTAATAAAGCACAATCATACTCAGTTTTGCTCCCGCTCTATTTTTCTACCTGAAAGCTTAATTCAACAGCAGCCTCTGGGCCGCGTCTCCTCCTCCTCTTCAGCGCGGTGGCTGGCAGGTGTTTTTTCATCTAAATAATCTAAATCTTGCCGCTATATTTGCTGTGATCAGTGGGAATAAAGTAGTTTTAATATGTTTTTAAGTGAGAAAGTCCACCTGAAAACTTCATAATTGCAGTCAGTTCATCCAGATTATCTATTTCTGTCGGAGGCGCTCAGACCC